CTGTGTACGATTTGAGCTCAAGTTGGATGAGTTACGTGTAGTAAATCGTAGGTATTATAAGGCTAGTAAATGACAAATTTCCCTTGTTTATTGAAGTCACACTCCTTCCCTATTATCTACTCCTGATTGTATCAAGCGAACCAGACAATGCGTCTAGGCAATACTGTGGAGGCGTATGTAAAATGAACGCGAGCGATGAGAATTTTGAAGGCAAACTGAAATTACTATCCAAAAAATGGGATACCAGATCTTTGGGGGGGGGGGATACCAGATTTCAATACCTGGTATCCCGAATGAATACCATAATAAAAATCTAATTTTGACCCCTGGTATAGATGGAATGGGGTACATCGTACAGCTGTCTCTTTTGCTGCTAATCATGATAATACAACGAACAAACATTACAATGATTGGAAACAGGTAAAAATTTTATATTTTACCAAGCGTCCATTCACACTTATCAACGAACGTTATCAAAAAAGTGTAGACAAAGTATATATATGATCGGTTCACTGGCCAGGGGGCCCATGAATCCAAGAATCAATATCAGGAACCGAGTGAAAAAATGGGAATCGGTCAAGTATGAACATTTAAAACCTATTTTATGTGTTGGTTCCCAAATGTAATGCTCACTAGAGGTGAGAAATTGCTGTGTGTATCTCTAAAATCTGCAGCTGGATGCCACTGTGGGACCTTGTGATTCTCCCCTAAACCTCCCTATCACTGGTGGTTGTCTCCCTTCCACCCATATTGGCAAATATCTGGATCCACCAATAGCAGGTTTGGACGGTCAGGATTGAGGGCGTTCAAATGGTGTTGTATACATTTTAGGAAGGCCAAATAATTTTAGTGTCAGTAAATTTTATAGCTAAACAAATCGACATTTTATTTCGTAAACCTTTATGTGAGGATGTTTGTGCAGTTCTAATAATGTAATTATCAATGGTCCTACACAAAAACTTGTCAATCTGTTGATCTAATACATATTTGTGGAAGTTTCTCTGTTTGTCTTTTCTCGAATCAAATCAATATGGGCCATTAGATGTAACTTTGGATCCTGAATGTCATGGGCACATTGGATTTGACCTCCGAGGACATCTGACATTGCAAAAGGAAAAAATGATGCAAAAATGATGCTTCTGCAGCAGCGTTAAATCAACGCACGCACCCTTGTAGCAGCGGTAAATAAACGGGCCCATGCAGGCGGGATTCACTTTGCACTGATTCGCATTACTGTACAATGCACGTCACATTGCGTTACTATTCATGCATTATGTTCCACGTGCCATGTGTTTGTCATAACAACATTCACTATGCACTGACAGAGTGTGCACGACTTTTTCCGATAGGTTCGAGAACATTCGATAAAATTCAGCGCAAATAGTCGCAGTGCTGTGCATCATTGTGCATTCATGATAGGAGCAAGTCGCCAAACCACAGTTCAAGATGGGACGAACAAAACGATGCAACATTGGCAGAAGATCTTCACAAGCCCGTCGCATGCGAGCAAGGAGAGAGCAAGAGACAACAGAGGAACATCAGTCTCGCATTACTGCTGATGCTTCCAGACGCGCAAGGAGCAGGCAGGAGGAAACACAGGAGCAACGCCACGCCTGCCTCAGTGTTCAGTCCTCCAGACAGGCAAGGGGCAGGCAGCGGGAAACTGAGGAACAACATGAAGCTCGCCTCAGTGTTGATGCCTCCCAACATTACATCAGCACACAACAAGAGTCTGCTGAGGGAGAACAAGCAAGTCTCCGAGCAGAACGAATAAAATCCACCAGCCGAAGGGCAGCACCAGTTATTGCAGCAAACCTGCTAAATGTTGCGTTCATTTGCTCATTTTCTATGTTTTGGAAGAAGTCAACTTTGTTTGACCCGTGTATCTCTGTTACAAAGGATATAAATGTTCTGTTTGAAAGAAAATATTCATGCTGAATTTCCATGAAGATTTTGGGGGTCTTTTCCTTTCAACCAAGTAGTCACAAACTGAGTACTTCATTTCCCGGGCAACGCCGGGTGTCCTGCTGGTTTTCTATAAACCAGCATAGAACCAGCATTCAACTGATGCCTAAAATCCCCATACATACATAATGTATATTGAGTGTGCAGCAAGTCTAAATGTAAATCGTGTTTGTTGTATTTTTGTGAATATTATGATTATTCTCCCTTGTCCATATTTTAACAGATAAATATCTACACACTAGCACAGCCAACGATGGATAGTACGCCAGAAGTGGATGAAAGTGGACGGAGTGAAGGGGGACCAATGGACACTGTTTTGGCAGATGAATCAGTTGGTTAGTGGTTTTCCAGCAACAATGAATTCTATATGTTTATGTAAAACAATGAAGTGTATGTTGTTTAAATGTTGATTGTGTATCTCCTTATCGGCCTCATTCAAATTCAAATTGCTCATTGTTAAATTTAGCGTGAGCCTCTATATATATGTCTAACTAATGTTGGATTCTTGAAGTTCTAAAGTCAATCTGCATAGCATCTCACTTAGTCTATGTAGTAGCGTGCAGTAGTACCTGATGTTAGCACACACAAGGGAGCCATTGTCAGCAACGTTTCACTTACATACAGCGTTCACGCGGTAATGGTTTGGCTCGAGCTAAATGGGCTAAATTTGGCTCAGGCTAAATTTGGCTTGAGCCGGCTTGAGTCGGAGCGTTCACACGTACGCAAGCGAATACTGTCTGTCGCGAGATGGCGTTGTGTACGATTCAGTGTTTACTTCCGTTTCGAGTTCAATTATCAATCTTGAAAACATGCACATCCTGATCAAATTTTCCAAATGTTTATACTGTTTTGGACTTTATTTCGTCGAAGTGCACGTTCGTATCCGAGCTCAGTCATTTGGGCCACTATATTTTTACCGCTTTACCGATTTGGCTGGTGCTAAAATTTAGCTCGGGCCTGGTCAGAAGTTTTCGATGGGACCAAATTGGCTCATTCTAACTCGGCACGGCCCCGAAAAACCGTCCATGTGAACGCTCGGCACGAGCCAAATTTGGCACAGGCCTAATTAATAAGACTATTTAATATCAGTCTTAGTCGCAAATTTTTCGATGTGGTATGATAGTACTAATCGTTACCACACAGCTACGATGTCCCTCTGAGCAGCCAAGTTTCCAGTCGAAACCTTCGAAGACAACGAAAAACATTGAGTCGACGTTAACGTGAATCACATGTTAATCTAATGTATAAATAATGCAACACGTTAATCTAACGTTTATTCGCGCCCGGTGATGCGTCCAGTCGAAACCTCGGAAGCCGGCAAGGACGACTGTGCGGAGGAGGATGCTGAGGAGACGACATGCACCGATCACATCCACTGCGAGGTGCTGCCACATCACGCCGACACAGAGGAGCCGCCGGACAATGTGCAGGGGGAACACGTTACGGGCACGATCGAGGTGATTCCGGTTGGCTTCCTTCTGTGATCGACGTCGTGATTTTACTCGTGACGTTGGTGATCGTGCATTTATTGAACATGTGTTATCCAGCAGGTTGCTTCTGGTAAGGGTTCTCGCTTCTGTATGAATCTTCGCTGTGATACATTGTTGCGTTCAGGCAAAGCTGAGTCCGACGGAAGTTTACAAAGACAGCAGACTGAAAACAAATGTACGCTGTGTAATACACAAATCAAGAGACTAATCGTTCCTTTGACTAAATGTCTCCAGGTGGCGCCAGGAGCAGACGGCAACAGCGATGATGACGACGAGACGGAACACGGCGACATGATCCAGAACGGATACACGCCACCAGGCGGCAGCGTCGTCGAGAGCGAGGACGACACCGAACGCACACCGGAGGGCACCTCTGGCGCGAGCCCCGACGTGGCGGCGATTCCCGCGGTGCGAGACGAGACGATGACGGAAAGTGAGATGACGGAAAGCGAGCTGCCCGATCGTGAGGAGGAGGAGGAGGAGGAGGCAGAGGACGGTGTGCCGGAAGAGGAAGATGTGTTAGGAGAGACGAACGCGCGCGAAAGTATGGATGGGGTGGACGCCGCCGACGCAGCGTCTGAAGCTGACGTGCAAGGTGAAGCTGATGCACAGGGTAAAGCTGCTACGGACTGTGGTGCTGATGCTCAGGGTAAAGCTGCTACGGACTGTGCTGCTGATGCTCAGGGTAAAGCTGCTACGGACTGTGCTGCTGATGCTCAGGGTAAAGCTGCTACGGACTGTGCTGCTGATGCTCAGGGTAAAGCTGCTACGGACTGTGCTGCTGATGCTCAGGGTAAAGCTGCTACGGACTGTGCTGCTGATGCTCAGGGTAAAGCTGTTCCGGTGCTTGCTGCTGATGCACAGGGTCGCGTTGATGTACAGGATATAGCTGTTAGCGAGTGTGGTGCTGGTGCACAGAGTAGAGTTAATGAAAGTGGTAAAGCTGTTACAGAGCTCTGCGCTGCTGCAGCTGGTGCTACTGATGCAGAAAGGGAAGCGGAAACCGCGCCTGGCAGTGATATGGGAGACGAGGAAGCACTAGTGGACGACACCGACCTTAGCCACGAGGCTAACGACCCGTCGGACAAGCCCGAAGGTGGAGACGGCGGCGAAACCGTGGAATCGGACATGCCCGAAGGTGGAGACGGCGGTGAAAACGTGGAATCGGACATGCCCGAAGGTGGAGACGGCGGCGAAACCGTGGAATCGGACAAGCCCGAAGGTGGAGACGGCGGCGAAACCGTGGAATCGGACATGCCCGAAGGTGGAGACGGCGGCGAAACCGTGGAATCGGACATGCCCGAAGGTGGAGACGGCGGCGAAACCGTGGAATCGGACATGCCCGAAGGTGGAGACGGCGGTGAAACCGTGGAATCGGACATGCCCGAAGGTGGAGACGGCGGCGAAACCGTGGAATCGGACATGCCCGAAGGTGGAGACGGCGGCGAAACCGTGGAATCGGACGGTGGCGGCGGCGGCGTCCGTCCCGCCACGGCGCACGCCAACGACGAAGTGCTGGTGGTGTCCCTTGACGACGACGACGACGACGACGCCCAAGCGTCTACGCGCGACGACGTCGCCGCCGGCAACGCGGCGTCCGCGAGCGAGACGGCGAATCTCGAGGCGCCGAGTGAGGATGCTGCTGCTGCAGACGCGGCGGCAGAGTCTAGCGAGCGGGACGCAGCGGCGGTGGCGACATCTAGCGAGGAAGAAGCAGCGGGGGGGCAGCCGAGCGAGGATGCGACGGAAACGGTCGCCGGCGGCGATTACACGCTGCATTTACTGCAGGCCCCCGTCGAGGACGTCGCGCTGATGGTGGCGCCGCCGTGCGAGGACGTCGCGCTGATGGTGGCGCCGCCGTGCGAGGAGGTGACGCTCAGCGACGACGAGACGACGGTCAGCGGAGAGGAGAGCGCCGAGGCGATGCTGGGTAATTTGGTGGCGCCACCTGGAAGTGGCACGGCCGCGAACGCCGTCGCGGAGGGCAGCGAGGGCGCGGCAGACGACAGCATGGAGGTGGACGAGGAAGTGCCGCTGCCGAAGCTCGTGGAGTTGATCGACATCGACGCAGACTCGCCGATGGAGGTCGACGAAGCAGAGTTGGAGCAGGTGGCGCCGCCTGGCGAACAGACGGTGGGTCACGAGGTTGCGGGGTCGGCGGAGGGCGCCGGAGAGGTCGGCGAGTCTCAACAGAGAGGCGGAGATTCGGAGTCGGCTGCGGGCGGACAGCAGACGGGGTCGGCCGACAATGCCGCTGGACGGTCGAACGATGGTGCGGGCAGCAGGGGGTCCGGTGCCCCTTCAGAGGGCACACAGGATGGCTTGCAGTCACACGGGAGCGAGCTTGGAATGGAAATACCCACCGAGATTACTCCAACGGTACTATTCTAAGTGCGTTAGAGAACTTCACTGTAGTACTGCATTACTGCAGTTATTGTATGTAATTTTGTGCAACTCCCTGCACGGTTTGCGCATGCACACGGTTATAAAATAATGTGGCTTCTCTACCAGGTGTGCGTGTGTGCGCTACACCGATTCCGCATATCCCGCTTTGTTCCCTGAAAAGGTGATGTTGAAAAGTATGTGGCCTCAGTAACCCTTCCTTGGAAAAAGTATTTGCTTTTTTGCCCTTTCCAACTTCCTGTGGTGTCCTAAAGTTTGCATTTAAACAAGTGGCAACATAGCACCTGGTTACTTCAACAAAGAAATGCAATAATCTAGCCACATACCTGCGGTATCTTAATTAGCAAAATCACTTCCACATTAATTTGAAATGTAGTATTGCATCTAAATGACTTTGTAGTATTACGGTGATGATGATGGTTATTATTACATACTGTTTACAACTACTTGAAGTTTATGTTTGCTGCACGAATGTGCTGTGGACGTATGAAATGTCTTGGGGAAAACTCCCCAGATGTATTACTACAAATTGGCTGTTTGGTTTTGCAGTCAAAGGTGGATGCAGTAGCAGATCAGGTTATAACTCGTGTCAAGAGTGAACCAATCGACGAGGAATACAAAGTAAGTGAGCACAGTGATACAGGGTTTCTTCTGAGGGAAAATTAGACAAAGGAGGTAATGGCCAGTTTGGGGGAAAAAACGTGCATGATTGATTCCACGTAGGCACGCAGCCGGACGCGGGGCGAGAGAGGCAGAGGGGAACGTTTTCACAACGGCGATGTTAAATTTGACAACGGCGGTGCGCCACTGTGCTTCTTATGTATAACATGTATAAGAAACCCTGTGATAGTGAATGCTCGTAAGTTGTTTACAAGTGACTTGTGTTAAGTTTCAACTCTTCTAAAAAATAGTATTCACATCTATCCACCTCTTCTAAATCATATTAGTTTACCTGGTGTGATGATTTATGATGTTAAATGTCTTCTGTTTGAAGTAACCTGAATGACCCATAGTCCTGTCTCCATAGTGTAGCCATATAAACATGTAATTCACCAGTTTAATTTAGTTCTAAATATATTTTTTATTAAAATTGAAAAAGTTTAAAAAATTGAAACGAGATCAGTTGTGTCTTGGCAAACAATAAGATTTACTGGAACTCGGCAGTAGTTCAATGGTACAAATTAAATTAGGTTATTTTTGATAATTGAGGTTCACAAATGTTGTAGTTGTTCTAGTTTATGACTGTGCATACCAAGCCAGTTTGTACATTACAGTCGTTGACTATTCATTTAGGATGAGCCAGAAGTTCTCATACTATTTGAGAAGTTGGTGAATGTGAAGACAGAGCCAGTGAGTGATCAGGTGGTCGGGGTGTTATCTGATAGTGAGCCGAAATCAAGCCAGGACTCTGCATCCAAGCTTGGGATAAGCAGGCATATCTGCATTGTCTGTAAACAGGTGAATATATATATAATGATAATGACATCAACATTCTATGTTCACACAGACATCGACATATCTGTGGGCAGGCATTTTTCAGAAATGTAGCAGATATTGCCCCTCATGGAGTTCTGATTTTTAATTTATAGGTTGCCTTGTAATGCTGCCAGTTTGGTATTGATTACCCTTTGAGTTTCATGTAGCTTATGCTTGTTAATACAACAAGTGTTGTTTTACTCGAACTGATAGCGGTATTAGTAGGGACAGTGATTTTCCGCGATTGCGGAAAACGGACGGAAAACACGGAAACGGCCATTGGAAACGGAAAAGATGTTTTCAAACGGAAAAAAACGCGGAAAACGTAATTTTTACATATTACAACATCGAAATTTCAATAAAATCACACAAAAAAGTTGACAATATCATTGGTAATGATATGGTTTACATTCAGACAAGTTTCAGAGCGAAATGACTTACAATTACGACTTTTGGTAGCCCTGTGTTTCGGTGCCGGTTCCGGTTTCAAAGGTTGTACCAAATACTTTTTTTCATGCAAATATATTTAAACGGAATTTTGCATTTTTGGTGTGTACAATCTCTATGGTAAAACGGAATTTCCATTTTTTCTTTACTTTGGAACGGAATTCATGATTTTCCCAAACGGAAAAGGCAATTTTTTGAAACGGGAAATCACTGTCCCTATATTAGATTCATCTCTAACCACTATGGTACTTGGAAAAATAACATGTAGCCTAAATAGTGTATAATTTTACTAAAAATAGTAATGAGAGCTAAAATATTTCCTATATGGCTATTATAATTTTAATTGTAAAAAAATATAAGGATGCCTGGGTGTGGAGTGTGTAATTTCATTAGTGCAACTCGTACCTTTCCCCCGTGAGAGTCATCGACATTCTGAAGTCAGTTTTATGCTTATTCTTAATTGGTATTGACTAGTAAAAATGTTATCTAGCACAAACGATGCCAAATATGCTAAAAGCTAAGATTACGTTACCCCTTTTACGAAGTTATGTACATGTGTGGGTCTGTTAATTGCAGATGAGAAAGTGCAAGTACAATATCGTGAGGAATGGAGACGTGCGGCACTTGTGCACTGACGAATGCTTCAAAAAGTTCCGAAGCAACGCACAGGTCTACCTCTCCTCCCCTACCACGCCACCTGGGTGAGCAAGATTTCCATCTAACATCATGCTCAATGTTTAGGTTATGCCTGGAAGGTGTGGGCAAGGGCTAAGGCAATTTAGGAATGATTCTTTTCACCAAAGTTTTGCCATCTTTATGTAATTATTTATGGTAAAGTTGGCTGTCATTAGAAACTGGAAAAATATCTGGTAGACCCTTGTGACTATTAGAGAAAGGTCATTTGACTTCAACAAGCAGTCGGGTGTTAGTTGGCCATGCGGTGGTCCACCTGGAAATAATTACGACCAAACGGGAAAAGTTAGTGAACAGGTCTATTAGGTAAAGTGGCTGATATCGAGAAGTCGGAATTGCAGGGTTCGTAGCGGGTCTTCCAAAGTCTTATAAGTACTTATTTTGCCAAAAATAAAATAAGGGCCCTTATTAGTACTTATTTTTGGTGAAATCTTAGAAAAGTACTTAATAGTCCTTATTTTTCAACCTACAATATTTCATATAAATTGTTTTATAAACTGTTCTCGACTTAGAGTAAGAATTGTTGTATATATAATACGGAATAATTATATCTGCTGTGCAATTGTGTATATAAATATTATTAGTGTACTCTAATAGTCGGTGATCTATCAGAAATCGCGTAAAAAATAGTCTTATTTTGGCCTCCAGAAAGGGTCTCATAAGTCCTTATTTCAACATGTGTCTTACTACTATGAACTCTGAATTGTTGGACACGTGAAAACTAAGGGTAGCACATGTTAAGATGCCACAAGAAATATTTAGGTGGCAAGGGTGAGGTAGAGACGCAGTGGGGAGTGTTTCATTCGAGCAAACATTGGAATCATACAGTGTGCCAACGTATGCGTTTGTATGTTTATGCGCCGACGTGTGTGCCGGCGTGTCACGGTTCGTAATCGACTGGCATTGATTGTTACTTTCAGACAGGTAAACTGCACCGTCTGTGACAAGTCCGTCACGGTGACCTCATCCACACTGCAGCTACCAGGGGATCCGCCTAAATACGCCTGCTCCCAGCCCTGTTTACTCACTGCTAGCAGAGTCCAGGTACAACATGTGCACAGCGAAGCCAAATGCCAAATGAAGCCATCGACTCTATAATAGTGGAGTGCGCAGGGCACGTTGTAATGCAATCATGCTGCCGTTCGATTCCGTAGATCTCTGTGATTAAAGATTTCAGTGCCTTATGCTTGTAAAGTGCGAGTTAGTTTGTCGAAGAGCAAAATAATGTTGAACGTCTTTTACTGTGTTGCAGAACTTTGCAAGAAATGCTCTTGCGAGTATTTGAGATTTTTGTGTTCTTCAGGCAGTATTAAAACTAAGTTATTTAAATAAAAACACGTTTTTTTATTTTTTATTATATATGCATTGATTTAAAAAAACAGTTTTCATTTTTTAATCAAGTAAATAGTTTCTGAAATGCACGTTCACTTCGGTATGTGCAAAAACAACAACACAATAAATTGATGACTATCCATTACAAATGTCCAACAAGCCACTGTCACAACTTGTACAATAACTATGAATCTACGTAGCAACCACACTGTTAATTGAGGATAGCTAATTAATGCACTAAAGACTCACGGTATCCATACTCTGCATAGCAAGGCTCATTCTGTTCATGAGCCTCTAACATATTGTCAGTGGGTTCTGTCATATGTCACATCAGTGCAATAGTTGAAAGAGTTCAGGGGTGCAGTTTTATCCTCTCCTGCTAAAGCTCACTACCTTCCCCTGGGTAGGCATCTGGAAAGAGTCTGTTCAAAATTTTAACACATGGAAAATGACTATTCTTTGAATGTTACATCGACCTGGTTTGAGCAGGCGAGTGCTACTGTGCGATCTAGCAGTTAGCGGATCTACGTATTAACATTCTAATACATAGTCAGTAATAACAACAATACGTGACATTGTACGCTTCATCACAAGTCCTGGCTTCTCCCCTTAGGTGCCGGAGAAGAGCTGCAGTCAGTGCCAGAAGCTGATAAAGGAGGAATCCGGCCGGAAGCAGTTGCTGTCCTGGGAATCGATGGATTTCTGTTCGGAGAACTGTCTCGGCCGCTTCCAGTCAAACCTGACTGCCAGCTGTGCAGCTTGTGCCGCCGAGATTGTACCGCGCAATCAGGCTAAGATCGTGTTTAAGGTGCGTAGTACGTGTTAGCGTGACACCGTGCTTGTATCTGTGCATCTCTGCGTGCCTGTTTGCAAGTGTGTGCGCGTGTGTGTACGTGTGTGCGTGCGTGCGTGCGTGCGTGCGTGCGTGCGTGCGTGCGTGCGTGGGTTTGCGTGTGTGTGCATGTTCATCAATCAAAAAATCTGTAATGTGTGAATGGTCACGTGCACACACTTCCCCGTGTGTTCACAGGGAAACGAATCGCCTTTTTATCGAGGGTGTCGATAAGTATACATGACTGTTGGAATGACATAAACTAACCCGTCTTCTCTACATAGCACAGAATAGCATTTTAAAATGGTCAAAGTACGTTCTCTCCAATGTTTTTTTTATATAATTTTTTTACAACAGAAAGTTGCGCGTCGACTCCTGCTAATGTAAAAAATCAGGAAGCTCGAGAGGAAAGCACGGTGTGTATTATGACTTGTCGATGGCCCAACAGGTAGAGGGTGAGATGAAGCAGTTCTGCAGCCCAGCGTGTCTGAAGACGTACAGAAACCGGCTGAAGATGTGCAGCTTCTGCGATAAGAACATCACGAGCTGCGCGGAGACGTTCTCACTGCCCGTCGCTGAGGAGAAGGGCGGAGGAGTGAAGGTGAGAGAGAGAACGAGAGAACGAGAGACACAGATAGAGGGGAGGGGAGAGAGAGAGATGGACTAAGAGAGAGGAAGAAATATAAAGAGAGAGAGGGGAAGAGTGAGAGAGAGAGGTAGACTGAGAGAGAGGAAGAGAGAGAAAAAAGAAAAAGAGAGAGATATACAGAGAAAAAGAGAGATAGACAGAGAGGGGGGGGGAGAGGGAGAGAGGGGGGAGAGGGGAGAACGAGATAGAGAGAAGATACCGTGGGACATAGAGGTGCTAGTAAAGGAGTTTACCTCGTGATATAGCTATAGCCTGGGTTAATGCTTACAACTGACCTTGTAAAATAACTGCTCTCACAGAAAACAAAACAATGCTGAGTGCCGAGTGTCTACTATCTACCCTGGTGCTAATGCATTAAAAAATTATTATATATTATATAAGTGTTTTAAGGGAGTTATGAAACTAAGCATTGTGAAAAAGTTGAGACATTTTAGACTTATAATAGTCATAAGCTATTCATGTTTCCGATGCGCCCCTGGTGTGAATAATTATTATATATACGTGTTCTAGGGGAGTTGAATCTGTGAAACTAAGCGTTGTGCAAAAGTTGACATCTTAGATTTATAACAATCATAAACTATTCATGCTTCAGATGCGCCCCCTGGTGTAACTTCCCAATGCCATCGACACTTAACGCGTCGTTCCCGTCGTCTTTTTCGACGCCGCTTGTTTTTCGTCTGCTACAGGACTTTTGCTCGCGCAAGTGCACGACTCACTACGAGACGAAGCTGCGCATACAGCGTGGCGACTCCAGCGTCGTCGGCGCACACTGCTCGGTGTGCAGCGCGGGCGGGCGCGCCAAGCACGAGGTGCTGTACGAGGGGGGGCGCCACCGTCTGTGCAGCGACGCGTGCTTCGCGGCGTTCCGCTACGCGAACAAGCTCGCCGTGAACACGTGCGACAACTGCGGCGTGTTCTGCTTCAACGAGGACTCAACGCCACACTACATCCAGTTTGAGGGCGCAACGAAGCGCTTCTGCAGCTTCATGTGCATGAGCGCGTTCAAGGTCAGAGATCTGATTTATTATCGAGATGATGAAAATAATTGTTATTTATTTTGAGTTGATAGATTTTTAATTTGTTAATACTCTTAACGATTGGAGCAATTTTGAATGAAGCACGTAGGTTCGTCTCTAACAATTATACTTATAGCCATATAAAACGTCTTGCGCAATGCCACTTATTTTTACCTTACATTCATCAGTCTTACGTTTACTCCTACCCATGCATGGCTTTCTGTGAAGCATTATATTCATGCATATCTATTATATTATTTGTATTATATGTGACCCGTGGAGCCAAATGAGTCGGAGGTCGCACAGTAGCATTCTACTGTACAATCGATTTAAAATAAAAAATATTTTTTTTTAAATTTTTGTGGAATTTTTTTTCAAACAAATTATCTACAATGTTTACTTTTAATCTGTATATAAGCAAAAATGTCTTAATTCAATTAAAACCTGCTTAAATTGAATGATTTATAAGAAGAGTCGGCTAATAATATCAGTGAATGATATTAGTTTTCAGCCCTTATTTTAGACAATTCTCAGGAAATTTTAATCGCATGATATCTCGATTTATAATGGTCATGAAATATTTATTTTTCAACCAATTTTCAATATCTATATAACAATAGAAAGCTATAAATCTCGATACTTGAATTGTCATGATTGGTTTATGGGTTTAGGAGCTATCGCGATTTTAGTAAGCGGCACTGGGGTTAATTTTCTCAGAGGTATCTGAATATGTATTCAACCTAAAATGTCAAAATTGCCCCAAATGACTCATTTCGCTATCACCGGTCACATATGTTATTATCTTTCTGTGAAGCATTATATTCATGCATATCTATTATATTATTTGTATTATATGTGACCCGTGATAGCCAAATGAGTCGGAGGTCGCACAGTAGCATTCTACTGTACAATCGATTTAAAATAAAAAGATTTTATTTATTTTTTTATTCAAACAAATTATCTACAATGTTTACTTTTAATCTGTATATAAGCAAAAATATCTTAATTCAATTAAAACCTGCTTAAATTGAATGATTTATAAGAAGTGTCGGCTAATAATATCAGTGAATGATATTAGTTTTCAGTCCTTATTTTAGACAATTCTCAGGAAATTTTAATCGCATGATATCTCGATTTATAATGGTCATAAAATATTCATTTTTCAACCAATTTTCAATATCTATATAACAATAGAAAGCTATGAATCTCAGGTATCTGAATATGTGTTCAACCTAAAATGTCAAAATTGCCCCAAATGACTCATTTCGCTATCACCGGTCACATATGTCATATATCTATTATTTGTATATCATTATTATCATTATTATAATTATTATTATATTATAGGCAAGTAATTCTATTAACGATTAATGCGCACCGCCATCGATCCCCACAAATCTCAATTCGGCTTCTGTGTGTTCCAGGTTCTCAAGCAAAAGGTTGCCGCCTGCACCTGGTGTCAGTCGAAGAAATTGAACTTTGACATGATCGAGCGGACGGACTCGCAGAGCAAGTACCAGCTGTTCTGCAGCCTCAACTGCCTGTCGCTCTACCGCGTCAATCTCAGCGCGACGTCGAGCAAGCAGGTCAAGTGCGACCAGTGCTGCGCCCTGCAGCCGGCGCAGTACCATTTGACGATGAGCGACGCGTCCGTGCGTAACTTCTGCTCGTACGGCTGCGTGATGACGTTCCAGAACCAGTTCACGAAGTCGGGCAAGGTGCCGCCGGCGACGCCAGCGCGGCAGCAGACGACGACGACGACGACGACGACGACGGCGCAGGAGACGGCTCAGGAGGCTAGGCGGCAGAGTCAGGTGCATGCGGACCGAGCGCTGCAGGATAAGAGGAAGCAGAACCAGCAGCAGCGGCAACAGCAGCAGCGGCAGCGCGGGGTGGCGGGATTACCACAGACGCCGACGCCTTTATTGCCGCAGACACAGACGAGAGGTACGTACGTACGCGGGCATTTACACACACCATGCGTCTCCGATTCATGGCTGCAGTGCCGCTTTCAGTCCCCCATAAGTCCAGATTTCAAATGGGAGGTTGCATCAACTGTGTGCTTGAAATTTGTTGACCCAAAATGCCTGAAGTGCTTGCTTGTCATAATTACTCACGAGTCCTTGCACCCGCTGGAAATGAGGATGTGCGCGTTAGCTGGGTGTCGAGTCCACCACCACGTATGACTTGGTACGTCTTGTTCATAACCTCGTTGAAGCATTAGTGTGCGCTCCGACACTTATATGCAAGCTTGTTCTAACCTACGTATCTACTTGTTGCTGTGTAGTACGTGGCCAGCCATGCCGTCATCGACTCACTGACACCCGGTTTTAACATACGATTTGGCGCATGAGTATCTACGCTCGCTCTGACCTGCTGCGCGCGCGCGCGTGTGTTGCAGTGTACATAACAACCTCCGCAAGCTTGGCGTCGATGACGCCCGTGATATCACAGGTGATGTCGCTCGCGCCCGCGCAAAAGTCAACACAGGTGTCGACGATGCCGGTGAGAAGTGCGACGCTGGGCGCGGGCATTCGTCAACCGCCGCCGCTGAGTCTCCCACAAACCATGGTACGTAAACGTGGTTACTACCGTACTAGGGGTGTGACGATACATTTTGTTTCGGTTCGGTTCAGTTTTCGGTTTTTGCTCTTCGGTTCGGTTCATTCGGTTCGGTTATTTTCAGTAGTAAAAAATTTAAAATGCGGAGAAAATGGGGAAATTTTCCCTCCATTTTGAATAATAATAATAATAATAATACCTATCATAATATTATACATTTATTGTGTTATTCATTGGCCAAAAGACAATAAAGTAATACAGTTCAAGGATAATAGTCATGATACTATTCATTAAAGTGATCTACTTGACCAAAATAGACTATTAGACTAGTAAACACAGTCATAGACTAGTAGGCATTGTCACCCCGCACACGCTGAGAAAAGTGCGAGGGACGGGGCTTGGCTCAAGTGCTAACTGCTGAGCTATTTGCTCGCGATGTGCGCCTCCTAACTGAGAGTGTGTTGAATGTATTTCCCGTAAGGCCAAAACAAAATATAGGTGTGGTTACGGTTTCCCGACCGACCCTATTTATTCCCAGTGACCCTAAACATTTTATTGTCAATTTTCTTTAAAGTAAAAAAAAATAAATATGAATTGGACAGTTTCTGCTTCAAAAGGCACAACGCACAACCTTCGGACATAATTCGTAAATAAAATGTTTCAATAAAATAAAATGTTTTCCCTACCTATTTTTTTTCGGCATGAAACGGTAACCACACCTATATTTTGTTTTGGCCTTACGGGAAATACATTCAACACACTCTCAGTTAGGAGGTGCACATGGCGAGCAAATAGCTGAGCAGTCAGCACTTACGCCAAGCCCTGTCCCTCGCACGTTTCTCAGCGTGTGCGGGGTGACAATGCCTACTAGTCTATGACTGTGTTTACTAGTCTAGTAGTCTATTTTGGTCAAGTAGATCACTTTAATGAATAGCATTATGACTATTATCCGTGA